GTAAGATCCTAACGGCCATCGTGTATTCTGGTGCGTATTTAGGAATAAGTACCGCACACACACAATATTGTTACTAGAAAATGTTATAGTCTTTTGTTACACATTGTACGCAGTAACTGCCATTAGGCAAAAGTATGTTGTCTAGGTATCGCTCTTGAGTTTTACGTCTCCCTTGCAACAATGAGGGCCAGGCAATGAGGGTCACGCTTTTTTTTAGGTGCATCATAAATCGCGACATACAGCTACCAGCCAGGTAAACATTCGTGCATCACGTGGCTACCACGGTGCACTAAGCAGCACTGTCAAGCAGTGAAGCCTTACATGAATAATAACACATCTTTTAAAGGACAATGTATAAATGGCTTGAATAATGTACGATTACACCCCCCCCCCCAAAAAAAAAAAGAAAAAGGTAAAATTTTAAAATTCCACCAACCTTCCACTGAACTTTTCTTTTCAGACTGTATCTTGACAGCAATTTTTTTACGTCTCCTTCAACACTACTTTAAATCATTCAGAAAGCGCATAGTACAGATCGTGCCAGTCAGGATTAACACTAAGTAGAAAACAGCAAAAAGGAAAACGATAGCATAGACTTCCCAAATTTGGAATCGAGACCAAATCTTTTGCCGGCAAGGTCGAAATTCACATCGGTCTAATTATGTGGTTAAGTTTATTTATTACCTCTCGACCAACTATTCGTTTGGGGTGGGGAGGGGGAGAGGGGAGGGAACGGGGAAGTAGGAAGGAAGGGGGGGAATAGGGTGGAGGTGGGGTAGAGAGTATAAAGAGTGATGTTAAGCAACAAATGTACTGCTTAATTTTGAGATAACTTGACGGGGAGTCGCGGCGTAAACTATTTCTAGAACCAGACACGCCTGTCTCATGACTCTGCGGCGTCTGACGAAAATATTTTTACCTTCCTTTCACACTAGTCTATGTCTGGTTACCAAGCCCGGAAGATTTAATGCACAACTGCGAGCGGATCTTAAATAGCGTTTATCGCGAGGTTTTGGCCGCGATTTCCGTGTTCCAGCAGAAGATTTACAAGGTCTGCCGCGCGCCATGTTGTGACGTAACTGCACGTCTGCTGTTGCTTCTTAATTGCTTTCTCCGGGATCCGCTGCAGCGAGTGTAGTGGGTCGGATAACAGGACGGTTACTTGTTGCTTTCTTTCTCCATAAAATTTAGAACCAAAGGAAAGGTCCGCCATTAGCTCTAAGCTCAGTTAATTTACCCAGAAAAGGAGCACCGATAGCTCAGTAGGTTTACCTAGGAAAGGTACATCTTAAGCTCGGTTTACCTAGGAAAGATTCACTTTAAGCTCGGTTTACCTAGGAAAGGTACATCTTAAACTCGATTTACCCAGGAAAAGTGCACTTTAAGCTCGGTTTACCCAGAAAAGGGGAGTAATTAGCTCAGTCTGTATAACCAGAAAAGGGACACCCTAAGCTCAGGTGGTATGTTTCACTCCGGTGCGGATGGCCGTGGTTCGAACCATAAAGGGACATGAATATTTAAACTTTTGTAGTCTGAAAGGGTTTAAGACCCCCCCCCCCCCCACCTCACGAAGAAAACACAGCCATACCAGAGACGGATGTTTTGTTAAATCTTCAGTTTCCCATCTTAGAAGATCTCACACTGTTGAATGGGGCAAAAATCATTTAGGAAAGAGAGACAATGTGTCTGCGCGTGTTTTTTTGTGTGTATATGTGTGTGTGTGTGTGTGTGTGTGTGTGTGTGTGTGTGTGTGTGTGTGTGTGTGTGTGTGTGTGTGTGTGTGTGTGTGTGTGTGTGTGCGTGCCTGTGTCACCTGTGAGAGTGTGTGTGGAGAGGAATGATGAGGTCTTTGTCCAACAAAACCGGTCATCGAGACCGACCAAAGGCCAGAGCACACAGTCCTGGAGGTGACCATACAGCCCTGGAAATCCCTCCAATGAAAAGAAATTCTGTTACCATCCTTCAACCCCAGGAAACATAAGAAAAAAAAAACCATTTCGTATTTGTAGCCTTTCCTACTACAAACGATCCCGGAAACAGTCGACAAAAAAAACCAAATGTGGGGGGGGGGGAGGGTGTGCTTTTAAAAAACCGCAACCAGTATCATGACAAAGAAAAACAATTCCTTTAACCTCTTCAACAAGATGGGAAGTTGTCAACGAAAGGGGGGCTTTCTTCATACGGTTCTTTCTCTAACGTCTATCCATTCAATCTGGATCTATTACAATCTCAGGGCTCTAAACTACGTTTCAGTGGTTCAAACCGCGCCATCTACAATTCAAATCCCGACGTTGTTACGCCAGAAGAGGAGTCATGGAAGGGAACCTGGCCTTTTAGCGCATGCGCAGACAGTGAAACCGTTTTTTTAAAGACCGGTTACGACACGAGAATGGCTGTTGTTTACAACACGTCGGGCGGTCTTGTGGTAGAAGGACCAGGGTAATTATACATGATGTCCTGTCCCACGTCTGTCTTCCTCGACCGGTCCTGGAACTTTTGGACCGACCTGCCCTCAACCACAGAACTTGTAAACTGGACAGGAGGCGAACAGTGATAAGTGCTTTAAAGTGGGAGATAGTATATGAGCTCAGACCTAGGCTTTCTCAGTTTCTGAGAAGGCCTAGGCTCAGATTCATAATAATTTCAAGTAATAAAATTTCGGTGGCATGATGTTCCGATGGGTGGCCAGTGGAATGTGTCTTGAGAAAGACACAATAGTCTTAGGATTTAAAAAAGAGAGTTGAACAGTGGCGACGAGCAATTATTATTGTGTGTTGAATGATAGAGGGGGTGGGGGGGGAGATGGAGAGACAGACAGGCAAACAGAGAGAGAGAGACAAACAGAGACAGATACAGAGACAGAGAAGAGACAAATAAAAGACCAAGGCTGGCCCGCTTGTCAATTTCGTTTGTTTGTTTGATCGATTATTGGTTTGTTTGCTTGTTTGTAAGTTTGTTTTTGCTTTGTTTTTTGTTTATCTGTTGTTGTTGTTTGTTTGTTTTTGTTGGGTGGGGGAGGGAGTTACCGTTAAGAAAGAAAATGAACAGAACTGGAGCTGCCTGTCTTTCTCCATACTCCTGTGGAGTAACGACCTGCCCCAACTGTTCACACTGACCGGCGGTCAAGTGGCCGGGACGACGCAAGCCCGGGGGATGTCTTGTGTAAAAATTTAATCACTTGGTCTAGTGGGGGGAGACTCGCAGGTCTCTGGTGACTGTCGTCTGACAGATCTGTGCGGCAGGTGTGGGGCTTGGGATCGGTGCGTGGAAAGTGGAAATATGTGCTTGCTTGAGGGGACAGAGGGAGGGGTGGTAGGGTGTATGTCGTGAATGTATGTCTAGCCTGCAGAGACAACACGTCTCTGAAATAGTATAATTAATCTAAAATAGTGAAAATAGAATACAGACACGCGTAAATATACTCATTTACACAAACACACAACTATACACACACATGCACATACGCATACACATACACAAACAAACACACACACACACACACACACACACACACAGAGAGAGAGAGAGAGACGCACATACACATACACACACACACACACGTACGCATACAGACACACACGCACAAACAAACAAACAGATTACGTACTAATGAGTAAGCGATAGGAAAACAATCAGACACAGATAGCAGCTACAGGCTATGAGGGAGAGGGCAGGCGTATAGAAAGAAGTCGAGAGAAAGGGAGAGGGGGTGGAGAGAGAAGAAGAGAGAGAGAAAGGATGTAGAAGAGAGAGAGAGACAAAGAGAGAAAGAAAGAAAAAGAGAAAGAAAGAAAAAAAGAAAGAAAGAAAGAAAGGAAGAAAGAAAGAAAGAAATAGAAAGAGAGAACGAGAGACAGAGAGAGAGGAGAGAGAGAAAGAGCGAGAGAAAGAGGAGGAGAAGAGGGGAGAGAGGAAAGAGAGAGTCGTGAGAGAGCATAAATGGAGAGAGAGAGAGAGGGAGAGAGA